GGAAGGAAGGAAAGAAAGAAAGAAAGAAAGAAAGAAAGAAAGAAAGAAAGAAAGAAAGAAAGAAAGAGAAAGAGAGAAAGAGAAAGAAAGAAGAAAGGGAAGAAAGAGAGAGAGAGAAAGAAAGGAAGGAAGGAAGAAAGAGGAAGGAAGGAAGGAGAGAAGGAAGGGAGGGAAGAAGGGAGGGAGAAAGGGAGGGAGGGAGGACAGACAAATTCAATAAGAAAAATACATAATGTAAAATTTGTAACTTTGAAGAAGTCGTTTGATCATCTGTGTTCTTTTCTATTTGATTACTCTGGATATGAAATAGCTTTAATACCTATATTCTTTTGGATAAACTAAAATAATTTAACAGTTCTTTTAAAATGCCAATATTTATAATGAACCTGAAATTACATTAGCAGCTATTTAAACTTTGGTCAATAAAATTTTTAGATATCAATCCAAACTGTGCAGGAAGAGTCATGATTTTTAAAATTCCTGTAAATGTTCCATATGCAAAAATACTTGAAGCCCGCTCTTGACATGATATGTGACTCCTGACCCAGGGACAAAAGGAAGTCAGTGTACAGTGTCAATCTTTATTATTAAATATAATCAATGTGGAATTTATTTCTTATGTTTCAGATTAAATCTAACATCTTCCAGCACCCAAATCTTCCAGGATCCAGAACCTCACAGAGGTTCTAGAGCTTTGCAGCCCCTTCGTAGACAAGTATCCTCAAAGATGCGTGTGATCTGGAGTACAGAAAGCATCGTTAAGATCTATATCAATATTGGGGAAATGTGAGCTACTTTCTTTTCCTCTTCCCATAGCAAACCTGTGGCAAACTTCATTTTAAAAAATGAGAAAAAAAGAAGTGGTGTTTGAAATTTTAGACAAAGAAGCAAGGTTTCTCAGGCCAACTCCCTAGAGCATAAAATCATACTTGCCTCCAGGGCTTCATTCTCTTGGACAATGGTGTTGGCATCAGGGCACATCTTTCAGTGTTTTGGGTCTGAGATCCTATGAAGGCTGCATGGCAGTGTAACCCCACTCTCTCTGTTAAACACATTTTGTACATAAGATACATCCTTCCCTTACCTGGTTGACAGTCTCTGGTTGAAGCAAATCAACATCTGTGTTCCCCGAAAGACAAACAAATGGTGAAATCGCAACTCTTCCTTCCTTGCAGCTCATCAAGTGAGACACAAGTTGGGAGTCTCCACATTTTTTACCTGTGAATTCTGACCATGTTGGAGTAGGTCATGTTAGGGTTTAAAAATCAGCCCACGTTAACCCTGTTAAACTCACTGTACGTCAGGCCACAGTAGGTGACATTCATCTCATCAGAATGAAGGCTGACGGAGATATGGTGCATAAAGTCTTTAACCCAGCTTGGCACAGAGTAATCATTCGATCCATATTGACTATTAACTTATTATCATTACTCTTTTTATTACCTGTTATTTTTGCCCACGAACTCAGCTATAACCTCAGAAACCTCCAAGACACAATGTTCAGGCAGCTCCTACCAGTGGATTTGGAGCTGGCATAAGAGATAAAACATAGGCTCTGTCCAGTGAGTACCATCTCACTGGACTTGGAAGGCACCAAGTGATGAACTCAGGCCTCGCTCCTTCTTCCCATCCTGCCACAATCACACACTCCCACCAGCTTTTCTCTGCAGTACTTTCCTTGCTTCCACCACTATTGTCTGCATTTGTTCATGCTGTGTCCCAAATCAACAAATCTTGAGGAACTACAATGCTTACCTCCCTGTCTTTTACTCCAACTTATACTAGGAGACAGGGGAATAAGGGAATCATTTTTATGGCTCCACTCTTTACTCTTAGTCTAGCTTCTTCTTTCCACTTATTTTCCCTTAGAAGTTTTCTGCTATAAAATTGACATCTGGAAGCTTAGTTACTTTGCAATACCAGTTACTCCTAAACAAAGAACAATTAATAGAAGCAACGATATTTGCAATATCCACTAGAACTTTTTGCAATGATAGAAATATTCTACCTGTACTATGTCCAAAGTAGAAGCCACTAGTATTTGAAATATAGCTAAAGTAACTAAAAAATTAACTTTTCAATTGTTTTATTTTTAGCCAACTTAATTTAGTCACATATAGCCAGCTAGTGGCTACCATATTGGGTAGAATAGACTTATACAGTGTTGACTATATGTCATGTACAGATTTAAAAACTTTATAAATATTGAGATACCCAATCCTCTAAACTTCTGTAAGTTGGGTAATATTTTTAGTCCTTTCATTTCACAGATTAAAAAATTGAGACATAAAAATTAAGTAACTGGCATGAGATCTCATGGTTAATAATAAGTATCAGAGCCAAGATTTGGACCTAGGCCCCCTGCTTCCAGAGTTCACATGTGTAACCACCATGCTACTACCTCTCAGGGAAAAAAACAAAATCCCAGAAATTATGCCATTTTCTTTTCTATCTGTCACATTTTCTAATCTGATTTTTCAGCCTGAACAGATAGGCAACCTTCCATCAAAATGAGGCTGGGCGCGGTGGCTCATGCCTGTAATCCCAGCACTTTGGGAGGCTGAGGCGGGTGGATCACGAGGTCAGGAGTTCGAGACCAGCCTAACAAACATGGTGAAACCCTGTCTCTATTAAAAATACAAAAATTAGCCAGGCATGGTGGTGGATGCCTGTAATACCAGCTACTCAGGAAAATGAGCAGGAGAATCACTTGAACCCGAGAGGCAGAAGTTGTGAGCCAAGATCACATCACTGCACTCCACCCTAGACAGGGCAACACTCCATCTCAAAAAAAAAATAAAAAGATTCATTATTACTTTAATGTTTTTTTTCTTCCATTGCCCAATTAATACTTGGTAATTAAAAAGTTGTTTTTTTTTAACTTGGAAAACAGAGCCATTATCATACCCTATGACGGGCTACATTGTTTTCTGTGGATAAAATACTCAGGTTGGTACAGCTGCCCTGGAATAAGCTCCTTTACCAGTTTTGAAGAATCTAATATTAGAGGCTTTCTTGGGCAAGATTGTTTACCCTTTAAATTGTTCCAGAATGGAAGTAAAATTTGCTTACTGATTCTTGACAAAGGGAGTTGATACTCATTTTTCATGTTCACCGACTTGGAAGCAGTAAGTAGGAAGGAGGCAAAATCCTTCATCACTGCCAGGTTATACTCATGTAAAGCAGCTTTAAAATCCTCCGGGAGGTCGGCAAGGATCACCTATGGGTGAGATATATTTCGGAAAGAGCTCTTTACTTTTATTTAAAAAATTAAATGGCTTGGTGATAAGATTGCAGCATAGTTCTGTAGATTGATGTTCATTCATCAAAGTCTGTGATTATTTTATTCACTTGTGAGATTAAGGTAAAATTTCCTTTTGATTTCAACCAACATTTATAAATGCAAATACCTTTCCTTAAAAAAAGTTGTTTCAACTCCACTTAGCCAAAACCACCAATTTAATAGAAATGTGACCTACACTGATATTAATTAAACTTAGATATATTTCAGAGACTTGAAGGATATATTTAGGGAGCAAGTGACAAGTTAGTGCAGCAATAGTAGCATAAATTCTTTATTGAGTTCAGACTGTGCCAACACTGTGCTGTGATGACCCAAGCACTTGTGTATGTTAGCTAAATTAATCCTAAGCACAACCCTAAGTATACATTTTCATTTACATTTTGTACATGAGGGAGTTAACCCTCACGGAGGTAAACATGTTCCAAATCTGACAGGTAGTAGATAGAGAAGTGGCTGGTATTGCAAGCTAACTCAGCTTCCAAATTTCATGTTTTAAAACAAATTCTTTCAGAATTAGAACTAGAAATTTCTCTAGTATGGGTTGGAAATAGCTATGACATTAGAAATATTCTTGGTTTTCTTCTATTACCATATGGTTTTTATTTATTTGATATTTTACTTAATTTATTCATACCCTATACTTTTCCAAGAATTGAGGTATTTTATAAGGGTGAAGATAATATAATATGATCGTATAGATCCAAATGTGGTAAAAAGGAAAGAAAAAAAGGAGAGACAAAAATGGGGCACAAATTATATTCTAAGATTCCTAGGAGCAAGTGTGAATGACACATTTCAGAATGTCTATGAGATAAACACTATTTATTCCCAGCACTAATATCAGATGAGAATTTTCCAGGGGAATTCTTACAAAAACATGCTGTGTGGATATAATATAGAATGCCCCACCAACTCCTTAAGTGGATATTATGACAATTTCCACAAGGCTACTTCCGACTCAGCTCTACCTGTGGATGGACCAAGACAAAAGAAAAAATGGACAAATGCAGTTCCACAGTCTGGTGAGAGTGATATAGTCCCCCCATTTGGTATTCTCCAGATTCACTGCTATGCGTTCCATATCCTGCCATTGTGCCACCACTGGACGCTGTTCTAGGGGAACATGAGCTGCTTATCACCTACACCTTGTGTTGACCGCCACCTTCTCCAACATGTGTGCTATATAGCCTCATCAGGAGAGCAAGCTCTTGGAAGGTAGCAACTATGTTTCACAACCATGATTTTTGTTACAGTGTGCATATGTTTATTGCTCAATAAATCTTTGCTAATTGGCTGATATAGAACAGTTATCCCAAATTATGGCACACAATATTAGAGGTATAGGAGATGACTTAGTGTGACACACAGAACACTAAACAATTATAAATCAGTTTTAAAAAATAAAAAGCTTCCCGGGTGCGGTGGCTCACGCCTATAATCCCAGCACTTTGGGAAGCCAAGGTGGGCAGATCACTTGAGGTCAGGAGTTCAAAACCACACTGGCCAACATGGCAAAACCCCAGCTGTACTAAACATATTAAAAAATTAGCCAGGTGTGGTGGCAGACACCTGTAATCGCAGCTACTTGGGAAGCTGAGGCAGGAGAATTGCTTGAACCTGGGAGGTGGAAGTTGCAGTGAGCTGAGATCATGCCACTGCACTTCAGCCTAGGTGACAGAGCAAGACTCCATCTCAAAAGTAAAATAAAATAAATAAAAAGCCATCTTATTTCCAGTACTCTTCTATTCTTTCTGATAACCCTAGAAAGTCCAGATGCAATAGACCACCATTGTTTCCCTAAAACTTGATAATCTCTTTTTGTAGCAAAGAGAGAGCAGCTTCAGCTGAGAACCATGTTAACTGCATCTATTCCTAGGACTTCCTTAGTATTGATACCAGAGATCCTGGCTTTCTATTTAAAGTAGTAGTAAATAAGAGTCTCCTTCTTAAATACTTTAAAATGTGCATGCAAGAAAAAGATGAATAGTTCCAGTGATTTGCAATGTGGATATATGTCAGTAACTAAAATTGGGGGCTCAAGTCTGGAGGTACATCCAGAGGCACTGTGAGGTCAAAAAGCCTAGATTAATGCTAATTCCCTTTTCATTATCTTTTCTTTAGGGTTACTGGATAGAAACAAGCTTCTTCTACATTCCCAGGTTCTAATGCACATTTTCTTGAATTTTGTTTGCTTGTTCTTGTTTTGTTGCTATTGTGTCTTTTTTTAAAAAAAGTAAGAAATTGGAAACAGTGTTACAAATATACTTAGAAAATATTTTTTCTTTCCGTCTCTCAACCCTTAAGTTAGGGGATCCTTTCTTAGGTGACCACTGCAATGTTGTCTCAAGAGGACATTAGCGCACATGATGTAATTTCTTCTCTGGACTCCCATCCCTAGTTGTAAACGACCCCAAGATAACCAACAGTTGTTGGTTCAGCAGTAGGGCTGCCATTCTATTGAAATGACTATTTGTGTATATCATCTCTGTTGCTGCTGAATTACATAATTTGCTCCAATAAAATGAAAAACTTTTAGGGGTAAGAATTGTTTGTTAGATTAGTAGGGGAAGATGTTTGAACTAAAGATTAAATGAAAAGAAAGACAACACTATTAAAACAAATGGAGTAGCTTATATTAATTTAACCCTATAGGTACTGAATGCATTCTAGTAGCATACATTTAATAACTATCATTATTACATCATTGTAAGTATAACAAACTTTACCTTTGACTGAGAAAAACTTAGATGAGCATTTTGGAATTTTGCTGGAATATATTTTCTTCCAAACAAGTTTGCCAGTACTAACACGAGCTTTTCCATCACATCTTGGGAAAATTGTTGGGTGCCTATTTAAATAAAGAGTATTATTGTAAATAAGAATAATGTTGGTTCTATGTATTTTGCTCTTAAATTTGTTTTTATAGTACATTTCCTTTCATTAAAGGCAAAATTTTCTAGTAAATACAGACCTCAGTTACTGACCATATCTGCCATGCACACCTTTAATTTTTTGGTTAAGACAGGAACTTTTATATTCTGTGCCTTTTTTTCCATCCTTGCTCTACCCGCCCTAGTTCCCACCCCAGAATGTTTACCAGTGGGTTTCCTGACTTGCACTCTCCTTCCTTCAGGCCGTCTTGAGAATGATCAATCTTTCCAAAGCATGAATATAATCATGTCCCTCCCTTACTTAAAAATCTTTAAGCGTATCTCAATGGCTAAGTGAAAACTCCAGTCTTCTTGGCCTGCCATTTAAGGTGTTTCAAATCCTGTCAAAATGAAGCTCCCAGACTTACCTATCAACACTTCTAAATGCTCTAGGTTCTGGCCATCTTGACCTCCACTCCATTCCACCTTCACTCCCCATAATACATGAGTACTATACCATAGGCATTAAAAGGTGGCTAGGTTTAATTACCTGGGCTCTGAAACATACTAAAGTAATATGACCATAGGAAACGTATTCACTTTTTATTCCTCTCAGTTTTCTCTTCTGCAAATATTCTTTATCAGTTAAGTATACATAAATAGCCCTCAAATACTCTTTATTAGTTAGAATAAATATAAGTTGACTTTCAGTCTAATTTTTTGGTATCTGTAAATCTGAACATATACTTAGCATTTCTTTGCTTTACAAAAAGGAGGAGGAAGAAGAAAAGAAAAACATTTCTGAGGTTTTGGTTATTAAACAGATATGTAGCCATTTTTGGACTACATGTATAAAACCCAAGCTTACCTTTAAAGTCTGGTTTACATAGATTATGAAAAAGGCCTCTCTTGAGAAAATTTACAAAAACAAGATTTGAAGGTTCATGTCCATGCAAATATGATACAAGTCCTGCAAATTTCTTTGGATTACCTTTTTTATCTAAAGAGTCCTAAAAATGAGAAAAAAAAGTTGATGTAACTTACCATGTACTCAAATACAATAAAATACCCGAGTGATTGACAAATATTACCTGACTTCATTTATTAATGAATAAGAAGTAACATTGCTGTTGAATGCAGCTTATAGAAACTTCAGTTGGTTTGGCATAGAAAGAAATCTACATAGTACTACTTACAGAGAACAAAAGCCAAAGCATGATCATACCTCTTTGATCAGGAGCTGCAAAGAAAACAAAAAGTAAAGTTTCAAAGTCTCCATGGCTCTTGGTCTCTTAAAAGACAGCAATGAATGCTTCAGCACTGACAACACCTATAAAAGAAGGGTACTTCAATTTATCTTGTTTTAAACAGTATTTGTAAATACTGATATATAATAAACAGTACACTTACAAACTATACAGATAATGTTACCAGATCTTATGTGAAAGTAAATTTCATTTGATTTCATATTATCTCTTTGACTGTGTCTTCACATGGTACATGCTTCTTTGAATAAAATATGTCACATAAAGCAGAACTGTTATACATAACACAGATTGGCAAATAATCTCTAAATCTCTGAAACAGTGGTAACTTATAATGGCCTGAAAAATATAAAGTATGAAAGCCAATCTGGCTTATAAGATTAGCTCTCCTAGACCATTCTAAAGGCAAATCGAGTAATTATATTGTTCTGAGTCTTAAATTATCCCATCAAAAACTAATGGAACTAGGTAGATTGCAGTCAACAGATTAGAAAAATTTGGGTCTGTGTCATCACCCAAATTTCATGTCAAATCGTAATTTGCAGTGTTGGAGGTGGGGCCTGATGGGAGGGGATTGGATCACAGAGGTGAATTTCTCCTTTGGTGCTGTTCTCATGATGGTGAGTGAGTTACCATGTGATCTGGTTGCTTAAAAGCACCTTCCCTCTATCTCTCCCTTCCTCCTGCTCCAGCCATGTTAGACATGTCTCCTTCCCCTTCCCCTTCCGCCATGATTGAGTTTCCTGAGGCCTACCCAGAAGCAGAAGCTCCTTTGCTTCCTATACAGCCTGCAGAACCATGGGCCAATGAAATGTCTTTTCTTTATAAATTACCCAGTATCAAGTATTTCTGTACAGCAATGTGAGAATGAACTAACACAGAAAATTGATACTGAGGAGTGGGGCACTACTATACAGGTATCTGAAAATGTGGAAACAATTTTGCAACTGGGTAGCGAACAGAGGCTGGAATTTTGTGGAGGGCTCACAGGAAGATGAAGGAAAGTTTGGAACATGCTAGAGACTTGTTAAACTATTGTGACCAAAATGCCGACAGTAATATGGACAATGAAGTCCAGGCTGATGAGGTCTAGATGAAGATGAAGAACTTATTGAAACTGGAACAAAGGTCATTTTGTTCAGTATTAGCAAAGAGGTTAGCTACATTGTGCCCCCGCTGTAGGCATTTGGAGAACTTTGAATTTGAAAGAGATGACTTAGAATATGTGGCAGAAATAAATTTCTAAGCAGTAAAGTGTTTAAGATGTAGACTGGCTGCTTCGACCAACCTATTTGCATATGTGTTAGCAAAGGAATGACCTGAAACTGGAGCTTGTATTTGAAAGGGAAGCAGAGTGTCAAAGCCTGAACATTTTCAGCTTAGCCACGTGACAGAAAAGCCTATTTTCTGGGAATGAATTCAAGCAGCCTGCATATATTTGTACAGCCAAAAGGAAGGCAAATGCTGATAGCCAAGACAACTGGAAAAGGCCTCAAAGGCATTTCGGAGACCTTTGCAGCATTTCCTCCCATCACAGGCTGGAGTGCAGGAGATCATAGCTCACTGCAACCTCAAACTCCTGGACCCCAGTGATCCTCCTGCCTCAGCCTCCCAAATAGCTGGGACTACAAGTACATGCCACCATACCCAGCCAGTGAAACTTTTTCTAATAAAGAAATCACAGCAATTAAAATAGAAAACAAATTAAAAATCTAATTTAATAAATACACTTCTTCAAAAATAACTTGAATGTGATAAACTGAAAAGGTTCTGCATGTGATAGACACTATCAATTTTTTTAAAAAAACTATAACTAGAAACTTCTCCTTAAAAAGTAACATATAAAAATAAATAAAAAGATCCATATACATGGGCAGAAAAAGTCAGGTGGCCTACAAGAAAACAGCAATCAGTAGGGCCACAGATTATATCTCTACAATAGCAGAAGCCAAAGAAAATGAAGCATCAACAATTTTGAAGACGAATGCCTCAAATCCAGTAAATTTATGCCTAGTTAAATAGTCCTTAATACGAAAAAAACAAAAATCTCCTCAAATATGCAGGAGCCCAGAAAATATCCCACCCTCATAAACTTTATTGTATAAAAAAACAACAACAAAAACCTTGAGAGTGTACTACTCTCTCTTTCTGGGAGATTAATCAAAATTAAGAGCTCAAGAATGGGGCCACTTTTACATAGAACTGGGCGTTCAGCAGGCACACACTGATTCATTACAGGGTTCTGGAAAGACTCTTCCTCCTGGAAAGTGGAATCTGATGTAACTGGCCATCAAAGAAACTTGGTAACCTTACAGTGACATTTAATTAAATTTAAATTTTAATGTGAATTGTATATTCCACAATATGCCTCTCAAAATTGTTCTGATTGAAAACCTCAGGCAAATTTACCAAGTTCTGATATCTAATTCAATATACCTGCATCCATTTTTTAAAAAACAGTCACCCACATTTAAGTAGAAAAGACTGGAAGAAATATACCAAAATAATAAAGCAATTTCCTTGGAGTAGTGGAACTAAGTATGGGCTGTTTTTCCTCCTTTCAGCTTTTCTATGATTCTAAATAGTCTTTTATAAACAGGTTACTTTATACTTAAAATATAATTTTTATTTTTAATACAGCAATACTGTTCCCTCATTCTTATCTGGAATTAAGAATGATACGTTTGAGAGCAAATTCAACCTTTCATTTCATTTACAATTCTTCTAATAATGCTTTAATGTAGAAATTTCTTATTTATCTAATTAATTAAGTAGCAAATGCTGACAACATAACAGAATTTAAGGTAGATGCAAATCTGTTTTACTACAATATATATATACACAGTCACAAACTAAGTTATATTATCAGTGTTCACTCATACTTGATCTCCTTTATAAAGGAAAAAGTAAACAATAACATGTAAAAAGAATGAAAAAGCTAGCAAAGTGCTTTTCCCATTCTTCTCTTTAAAGAACACTAAAGCAAAAAAAACAAAACAAAACAAAAAACCTAAAACTAAAATCATAAGACCTGAAACTACCAATGATAGTAGCTAGCATTTACATGTTTACTACTAATCGATATGATGCTAAGAAGTCGTTGACTTGCATTAATTAGTTCATTTAATTTAACTACAATCTATAGTGGTTGTTATTGCCTTTTTATAGCTGATAGTTTGGAGGTTTAGGAAAATGTAATTGCCTTTCCTAAAGTTAAATAGTCAGTAAATAATTGAACCAGGGATCTATTCCAGACCTTTATAAGTCTGTAGCCAATATTCAACCACTATACTATATTGCTTTCCACACATTAAAATAGCCCTGCTAATTCTTAATGCCTTATGGTCTTTGGTGGTAAAACAAAACTAATTATTTTTTCTGTCCTGAATAAACATATAATAATCAAAAAACACAAAGCATTAAAAGGGTGATGAAACTCAAGAGTTATTGTTACTGTTGAGCTAAAAAATATTGAGGCAAAATTCATAGAGTTCATTTGGGCAAGACTGAGGATGGCTGTCTGGGACAGACACGATTCCAAGTTGTCCCGGGAAGTATTCAGTTCAGCCATTGTTACAAGCAGATTTTTTTAAAGGCAAAAGGGGACAAGAAGTGGGCTGATACAAAGTTTTTTTGACAGGAGTTCTTATAGTTTTATGGAAATAACATTGATTTGTGATTGGCTATACATTGTTGAACTACAGGGAATGAGGTATGGTATCCAATGTACAGTGTTTTATGGCAACTTCATGTCAGTTATCCTAGAGCCCACAGAGCAAGTGGCTTCAAGAGGTAATTATTCAGCTCAAGAGGGGAGTGAGACGTGACTGCTGCCACACCCTGTCACATTCCAATGCCTCTCTGGGCCTGATAATTAAAGGGCACTCGCATTCCTCAGATAAAATGTTTCTTGGCCAGACGCAGTGGCTCATACCTCTTATCCCAACATTTTGGGAGGCTAAGGCCAGTATGATGGCAAACACTGAGTGTCAACTTGATTGGATTGAAGGATGCGAAGTATTGATCTTGGGTGTGTCTGTGAGGGTGTTGCCAAAGGAGATTAATATTTGAGTCAGTGGGCTGGGAAAGGTAGACCTACCCTTAATGTGGGTGGGCACCATCTAATCAGCTGCCAGCACAGCTAGAATATAAAGCAGGCAGAAAAATGTGAAAAGGCTAGACTGGCTTAGCCTCCCAGACTACACTGGACTCCACGTTCTTTCGTTTTGGGACTCAGACTGGCTTCTTGGCTCCTCAGCTTGCACATGGCATATTGAGGGTCCTGTGATCATGTGAGTTAAAATACTTAATAAATTCCCCCATATATATATATATATACACACACATACACACACACACACATACACACACACACATGTGTGTATCCTATTAGTTCTTTCCCTCTAGACAACCCTGACTAATACAGTGGGTGGACTGCCTGAGCCCAGGAGTTTGAGATCAGCCTGGGCAACATAATGAGACCTCACCTCTACAAAAAAATAAAATAAAAATTAGCTGGGCCCAGAGGTGTACACCTGTAGTCCCAGCTACTTGGGATGCTGAGGTGGGAGGATCACGTGAGCCCAGGTGATTAAGGCTGCAGTAAGCCATGATTGCACCACTGCACTCCAGCCTAGGTGACACAGTGAGACCTGTCTCCAAAATAAAATCTGAAAAGAAAGTTTATTTTCTTTCTCACAACAGACTTCTGAAAGAGCAGCAGACCTGACTATAGCCAGGCCAGTGATGAAGACTGAACCTCAGGCAGGGCACAGCACAGTACCTTTGCCTTGGCATCCTCTGGGTCATCTTTCTTGGAAGCCAGCAGCATGAGTCGCAGGACCAGGGTTATGCTGAGAGGAAACCGCCCTCTCAGCTCAGGAACATTGGATGCAATGAGTCTTTTTATTTTTGGCAATGGGACATCAAAGAAATAGACATCTCCAAGCAGGTCTTGACCTCTTCTTCCAGCACGACCAGACATCTGGAAGCAGCAAAGAATCACAATGTAAAACCTCCTCAAATAATTTCCTAGGAATTTAAAAGATCTAGGACTTTGCACTTGTTATCCTGGATTGTGTTAAACTGTGCCTTTAGTCCTGAAACTAATCCATGTTAATACGGCACTTAAAAAATACAGTGTGGCTGGGCAAAAGAGATAATGAGGGAGGCATTGTGATACATATTTGGTCTTTGACCCAGTTTGCTGGCATAGAACTCCTAAAATCCTTGGACTCTCCAGTATCTTTGTATGTTAATGAGTTGGCTGATGGCTGGCAGGCTCTAGGAAGCTTTGGGATAGGGACTGGTCACCATAAAGACCAAGGCATGATTAGAGGACTGGGACTTTCAGCCCCTTCTTGCAACTTCCAGGGGAGGGAGAAGGGGTAAAGGTTAAGGTGATCACCAATGGCCAATTCATCAGGCATGTGTCATGACGTTTTCATAAAAACCTAAAAGGACCGTCTTGAAGAGCTTCCAGACAGCTGAATACATGGAGGTTCCTGGAGGGTGGTGTATGGAACCTCCATGCTCCTGGCCCCATACCTTGCCCTCACAGCTCTTCTGTACCCTTTATAACATCCTTCATAATAAACTGGTAAATATAAGTGTTTCTGAGTTTGATGAGACACTCTAGCAAATTAATTGAACTCAAAGAGGGAGTCATGGGAACCCCAACTTGAAGCCAGTTGGCCAAAAGTTCCAGAGGACCAGTCTTGTGACTGGTATCTGAAGAGGGGACAGTCTTGGAAACTGAGCCCTCAGTGTGTGGAATCCGACACTATCTTCAGGTAGGTAATGTGGAATTGAATTGAGCTGCAGAACTGATGCTCACTTGGTGGTGGGCAGAAATCCCCACACATTCGGTCACAGTATTCTTCTGTGTTGATCGTAGTGATTATTATAGAGTGAGAGAATTAAAAAAGTAGTTTGTGTTCTTCCTCATATTCAGAGGCAGTGTCATTAACAGGTATCCCTATCATGCAGACAACTGTACTGGGCATTGCACGATGATATGTAAAAGAAACTTACAAATGAAACCTGCTCTCAAGGAGCTTACAGTCCATATACCCCCACTCTCTCTCACCACAGACACACACACACACACACACACACACACACACACACATATACACACACACAGAGAGAGAGAAAGAGAGAGAGAGACAGAGACAGGGAGGAATAGAACTAGAGAGTGGCTTAAATAGGGAAGCTTCTCAGCCCTATTTTCAATCAGATCCTTTTTTGCAAATGAAGGATTCAAACTTCTTCTGTTCTCATTGGTTGGAATAGTTGAGCCCTGACTGGGACTAGGTGGTTTCAAGCTCCAAACCAGAAGAGTCTGTGAAATGTTTCTTTCAAACAGCTAGATGTGGGGAGTTCCAACCATACTTGGAACTGTTTCCTATTTAAGCCATTTTCTCTAACTCTTTTAACAAACAGAGTTAAAAGTAATGAAAGTTAAAAAGTGTGCCTAAGCTCCTTGAGATAGAAATCAAGTACAATTATTGAACGAGACAACATTTTGAAAGGCTTCGTGGAAGAGGTATGTCAAGGACAAACTCTTTGTAGAAGAAATAACAGCCATTTATTCAATGCTTAGTATGTGCTAGGCCCTTTATATAAATTAGTTTTAGGCAGTCTTTGTCATAATCTGGTGAGGTAGAGAGTATTGTCAGCCCCATTTAAAAATAAAGCAGGACTTCCAGTGTAATGTTGAAAAAAAAAGGAACAAAGGTAAGAAACCTGAGCGCAGAGAACCTAAGTCATGTAGTCACAATCCAACAACTGAGAAGTAGCAGAGTCAACCAATCCCTGACATTTTTAAATCAAAGTCCTCAGGGACCATGTGAGTCTGCCTCTGGAATCCTAAAAATTAGATTCCTGAAGATTACAGGGTAGACAACCCATGCAAAAAAATGACTGCAGAGAAGAAAGCAAGAAGACAGAGATTAGAAAGATGGTTGGAAATAGTAAGAAGATTAGACTGATTAGGACAAATCCTCATGAGCATGAGAACATACGTATTTTAGATAGACAGCAAAGGGCTTGAATATTGCCAACCCTGCTATATTTCATCCTAGAATAGAATTAGCCATCAATATTCCCTCATCAAAGATGACATGAAGAAACTATGCTATCTATCATCTGTAGCACAGAATAGAATACAGGCAAATGAGAACCAAAAGGACTACTGTTTAAGAATGTCCCTGGCCAACAGACAGAATGGACTCCCGTGGCTGAGGTGCTCAAAGTTTAAACAGAACAAGGCAGCCATGGCAGAGTGAGGGAGTGATCGTGGATGCTGTGTTCTCAGAAAGATGCTGTAAAGGTGTCAAAGGACCTCCCGTCCTACAATCAAGCCAAACCAGCTGCTGTTGGTGGTGTCAAGATCAACTGCGGTTGGAAAGCCCCACTCCTAGCTGTTTGAAAGAAACCTCTGATGGAAACTTCTGGTTTAGGACATTGGAAACCACTCAGTCAGGGTCAACTATTTCAACCAATCAGAGCTGAATAAGCTTGAATCCATCATTTGCAAAAAAAAAAAAAAAAAAAAAAAAGGATCTGATTGAAAACAAGGCTGAGAATTTTCCTTAGTTAAGCCAAACCCCCTCTTTGTTCTTTGGAGAGCACACTTTCACTTGCAGTAAAGGCTGAGTTTCTCCAATCTGCAGATTGTTTTCTACAGAAAATAAAACTCTGTTTTGCCTCTGCAGATCTCATGTCCTTTTGTTAACACTCTTATAATAATCCTGGGTAAAGAATGAAGGACGAAGGGTGCTGCTACAGAAATTGTGACACAGAAACCTGAGACACCATGGCAGGAGAGTAATCGGATGCTTTTTGAAATAGATTAAGCATCAAAAGCAAAGGAGAGAAAGGCATTAAAGAACTCCAGAGTGAAAAAGTGTGCATAGTAAATGAAGGAGGAAATGTTTATTAAGGACCTTCAATGTGTCTTTCCTATTCACTTAACCCTTACCAAGGCTATGGGGTGGTGATTATCCTGGACATTCTGGAGATGGAGATAGTGAAGGAAGATACCCGCTGTGTAGATATCTCACCCGAGGTCTCACATCTGTTTGGTAATAATCACCTCATGCCCACAGATTTTTCCATTATCATGGTTTCCATTATAACACAACTGAAAATGGCAGCTGGGCATAGATGGATGCACATTGCACAGAAGAAATCATCAGTTCCACAAACACTGTGAGCATCTCTTGTCATCCCCATGCTAATTGCTATTAGGGATACAAATTCCTTCATGGAATTTACAAGACTACAGTGTATGTGACCGAACAAGCACAATCACATTTCCCCAAAGCTAGAGTAATCAAAGAAAATCAAAGAAAACAAATAAAAACAGTTCAATCAGAACCTTACAAAAAGGGCTAGAATTTCAATCAGGGGAGAAAAGGAAAAGTCTCTAAGAGGAAAAGGCAGAGCAGAGGTTCTGATGAACAAGGCATAACAGAAATGACAGGTCAATTAGTAAAACAATTTGTGCCAGAAGGTTCTCACAAGGAAAGAACAAGAAACAAATATACATATTTTTTAAAAATCACATGGTGATCAGGATGCAAAGGGCCCTACTAATAACAGCTGGCATTCATTGGGCACTTACTATGTGCTGGGCACAGTTCTGAGTAGTGTACACTTTTCAGTTAGCCCTCATAATCACCTTCTGAAATATAATTATTGTCACCATTGTACAGATTGAGAAACTGACACCTGAGAAATTAACTAACTTGTCCTCGATTGCACAGCTAGTGAAGAGTAAAGCAAAGATTCAAGCCTAGGGAATCTAGGATCAGATGCTCCTCTATTAATCATTACACATACTCCTTCAGAAGCACTGTGAAGACCTAGCACATAGGTACCTGAGGCAAGACTTGAGCCAGGCCACCAGTGTCGATGGTGAGCACGCTCAGCAAAAGAGAGGCAGGGCAACAGGCTGGGCTGAATGTAACAATACTGACATGGTGGTGAAGAGGCCCAGGAAAGGACACCAAGAGACTGTGACAGCAAAAGGGGCATTCTGATAACTGGAGCAATCCCAGGCTTATGCCAGTAGCGAGAATTCTGGAGACCCTGGGAGGCAGCTAATGTGCTTTTGTTTATGAGAGAGAGATGACTCACTGGGGCCCAGACGCAGACTGTGGTAGGCAGCTTTCTCAGTGGCTGCTCCCAAGGAGTCTAATCAGCTCAGCTTCCTGCTATTCACACTATTCACAGCCTTGTATAATCTGCTCTCCTTGGTTATTGAAGAAAAGCCAGGAAGGTGAAGCTAGCAAGTATTCTCTTTATTTTACAGGCAGTACAGTCCTATGAAGATTGAGTGACATGAGGAAGATACCTAGGAGCAGGTCATGACACGCATTTGAGTATAAAAACGCTATTTCAAGGAATACATAAATATTTTTAAAAGACAGAAAATGGAAAGGCCAAAAGGAGAAAATGGCATGTAAGCAGAAAATCCCTATCATTTTTTTTTCAATTAATACAGTGAAGTGTATTCTTTGCTTTAAAAAGCTAATATAAAACACATAGTTCAGGGGTCTGTAATACCTGCTGTGCTAGGAAAAATCACACTCCTATGAGACTAGATGCCTCTATAAAAGAAAGCACCAAAAAAAGGAAGATACATAGCTTCATGTCATGTATTCAAATAGATCCAGAGAAAGAAAAAGATTTTGATACAACTGGGCAAAAGTCACTGAAGTCAGTTCCTACATAACCAACTTTGGAGACTAAATTTTCTATTTCTAAATAACTTATGTTGCATGAGAAACATAAATCTACAGGTAGGTTTACTTTTTTAAAACTTTTATGTATAAAACATAGTAAATGCTTACTTCCAGTTGAAGATATGTCAAAACACTGACATGGAGTCAAAATAATGACAGCTAAACTAAGGCTGTCAATACAGGATCATGACAAAAGTGAACTGTATGAAATACTTTGAGTACGACTAACATTAACTGGTCTCAAGTGCAAGCAGTAGAACTAACATTTTCTGGTTCTCATTGTAAGACACATCCTTATAGACACATTGTAAATAACATGGAAATGGCATGGAAATACATTTCTGATTGCAGTGCATTTCCCTAAACAGAGCCAACCTGACATTTGGGATGATGAGGCAGTTGTTCGGGAGTATAAGTCCCAGAAAGGTCTGCCACCTGACCCTCAAAAAACAAACAAAATCCATCCAGAGACAAAATATATTTTATTCTGTCCCAGGAGATAATGCTAAGTCCTCAGAGCAGGATAACAAAGTCGTTCCATTCTCATTATGGTTCATAGTGAGTAAATGATGTTGGATTTCTTCCAAACAAGAGAGCTTGGCAAGGAGGAGGAAAAGGGAGACTATAATTCTGAAGGAAACAAAAGTCCCTTAAGGCAAACTTTGGTCACTACACAAAAAAGAGAAAGACTGAAAAATTCCAGCTCAGGAGCTTTCTGTTTTTTATAACTAACAACACATGCAAAAGGTGATATGGTCCATAGCTATACTTGAGAAAAGAAAAATACAGCTTTTAAGTTGAAACAGCAACATCCTAAAAAATCATGAAATAGATATAAACTCATTTTCTCTGTAAAATCACAATCTTCACATTCCAATCTAGGATTGTTCACATGATCTACATTTTAATAAGGAAAGAGGAAAATTTCAAGAATAAGCACAATGAAAAAATTTATATTTTATGATTTATCGTTCATATTTTGAGACTAGGCAAAGATCACTGACAATTTTTTTTAGCCGTGTGTAGAGAGGAGGTGGTTTTTCTTCCCTTTGACTTACAATATATGTCACAGATAGGATGTCACATAAGGAAATGAGAAGACGCTCAGGTGTGACATCTTTGTCATTGAGTCTAAATCTCTGTTACATGGCCTTTCTCCTTTATTTTTATTTTTCTTGCTCTCAAACTTGTTTTTCTTTCATTTATCTCCCTTTCCTTCCTGGCCTTATAATACAGACACATTTTTATCCTCAATTTTTAAAAAGTTATCTAGAGACCTCCAAGTAACACTTCTTACTCCAGAAATTCCACTAAAATGATAATGAAAAGCTTTTTTTTTTAAAAAAAAAAAAAAAAAGCATAAACCACCAAGAAGGTGAATGGTATTAAAGTTTTGGAATTTGGAAAATAGTTGGTTAATGACCCCTAAATACTCAAATTTGCAGTAAGAAAGTCGAAACCTACCTAATTTAAATGACAGGATTCCCAAAACACCCAGGAATTGATAATACCAAGTGCCACACACAGAGAAAGTCATATTAAAGGAAACAGATAATACAAGGAATTTCAGACCATTTTTCATACTCCCAGAAAAAAAAAAAATAAAGGAGCACTATAAAGGATCCAGAATCAGCACAGCTCTATATTTCTCAAGAAATATAAAAACTACACTAAAAACTGAACTTCACTAAGATTATTAAGCCAATAAACCCTAACTGTGAGAAAATAGTGAAACATAAATCATCCGACATGAAGCAACAAGATATAAGGTCACTCGACCCGAAAAGGCTATGCCTCACGGAAAGTAAAAGGAACAACAGAAACTGTAACCTGATACCAGATGCAAATGCCATATGGTTCATTATTTCACACCCGGCTTTCAGCAGCGGTACTAACAGAGTCATAGAGTTACCTGTCTGTAATTTAAAGCATCCAGATAGACTGAGTCTTGAGCAAAAACAACAGATTTGCATGGCTTGTGGATCCCTAAGGCAAATGTTTCAGTAGCTGTCACTGCCTAGAAAAAAAAAAAGTTAATTCAAAATATAGCATATCTGTAAGGACACAAGATCTATTTTCCACTCCAGTGTCTGAAGAACTCTTTGAGCTTGATAAACCACGTCATTAAAATTAACATACTAGCCACGCTGTTCTTACACTGCCTGACTATTCAAAGAACACTGCTACTTCAGCATCCTGTTGACATTTGCTCACGGTAAAATCATTTCACCCAAATCTCTATTTGCAGGCTCTTTCTGATCTCTATCTAAATGTCCAAAAAGACTTCCTGCACCATCGTAGTTAGATGCACAATAAATATGTGTCCAGTGAATGCAGGAATGAATGAACAACCAGCATACAAATCTTCTTTAAGATGGGGTAATAATGTTTTGACTTACATACTCCGGACAAACACCTTCTCTTATTCTCATGTTTGTTTATGGAAGTTTTATCTAAACAGATAACTGATCTAATTAATTGAAGCATAATAAAGTTAAATTTTCCTTCTAATTTACTTTCTTAATATCAGTTATGTGCCCACTAACCTATTTAATGCTAGGTGCATATAGCTGCTCTGTCTTTCTGTTAAATACATTGATATTAACCTGTGCCATAATTATTTTAATTATTTAACGATAAAGAGTAAGCACAAAGACTTTCTAATTGATATTTATAAACCTATCCAAATTCAAACCACTATTTGTTCATCTTTAAAAGTTCACCAATAAAAAGGACAGAAAGGCTCAAACCACTAAACTTTAGAATTTAGCTCTAATGAGTGTCATTTTTTAAAAAGTGTTCTTTTTTTAAAATGCAAGCACCCACATTTTCAGAATAACACTTTTATAGTGATCTGGCTATTCATTCATTCATTTATTCACTGATTTACTCACTCATTACCTTTTACTGAGTCACAACTATGTAACAAGGTCTACAATACTGAGTGTCATAAACAAAATTTACGTGATCTTTGCCCGTAATTAATAACCTTTATGAAAACTGTTTTTTTCTGGTTATTTGCCCATTTTAATGACAAATAAATTATACCTGTATGAAAACTGAGATTTTGTTTTTATAAACAGCAAGAAACAACTTTTGATATCTAATATTCCTCACTCTTCTTAAGATTACAAAAATAAACACCCTAAATAGCATGATGACTACACTTCTACACAACTCTTCACACACAGACACACACATGCATATGTGCAACCAAGCTATAAAGCTGGTGCTTGTTTTTCCAAATCCCTCTAAAGAAAACTGACTAGGTAATTATATGAACATTCTTGGTGAATTTATGGAGACCATCCCCACACAGAAAGAGAATGTTCCAAGCTTCTGAAACATGCTAACAAAAAGTTAACAAGCATTTAACTAGAGCCATGGAAGATCTCCTTACCCTCTTCCAACTTCCTTTGGAGGTGTTACATCTATCAGCTCTGTCTAGAACATGTTAGTCTAGTGCAAGCTTTCTCAGTTCTTAAAAAAGAAATGTCTTTCTCTTAGATGAGGTATGACATTGGAAAATAGTCTGACTAAAACTATAGTCATTTATACTAAAAGTATCAATATCCTTAAGAAATCTCTAGGGTAAAATTTTAAGAGCTATGTCCTAGATACTAAGTGTTGAAGGGTAAAGGGTTATGTAATAGCTGTACTACTTCATTATAAATATTTTTCAGTGTAGAAATAGTTTTTAAACTCCTCTAATAAATGGGAAAGATGGAGAAGCAGTTCAGTGAGTTGTAATAAAAAGACACTGGTTAGATGATTAAAACAACTGGTATAATTTTTTACCTTTTACTGGTATTCAGCATCATATATGCACATTATTTTAAATGCAAAGAAATGTACCTACCCTAATAAGCCCTTTTGCAAAGAGTATCTCAACTAACTCTTTTTCTTTAAAATACATGGCGCTGTGATGATATCCAATCCCCCTTTGTGCTAAAGTTGTCAGTTCTTCGCCTCTCCTCGTTAATTTCACTCGTTTTAACGCTGTATTCAAAGTCTAAAACAAGAAAGGAGTGTGAAACAATTGATCACGTATTTTACTTAAGTTCAACCAGAATCAAGACATTTTCATGAATAAATCTCTGACACCTTGCACACAGTGAGGCTGCCCTTTCACCCTGAACCTACATATTTCACAGCTACAGAAACAATCTGCCCATTTTTGCGAACAGACTCCCTCAGAGAAGAGACACGCAAAGAGAGAGAGAGACTTCTCCAAGAAGGCAGAGCACGTTCTCTACTCCAGATGATCCGAGAATTCTTGCTTCTCACTGTGAACCACTCACAAGTCATATCCAAACCCCTTAAAATGTCCATACTCAGTCTCACTTCTAAGAATTTATTCTCAGGAGGAAATCCAGCAGCTGGCAAAGATGTCAAAGGTAAAATCGTATTACAAGAACAAGAAAAAAACAATAAGATAGCCTAAGCAGCCTGGAGTAAGACAACTGGTTACATAAGTCAGTCACCCACAGAAACATAGAGTATGCAGCTAGTCAGATAATAATGTAGCTCTATTGTTGCTGGCAAGAAATAAATAGGTAAGGGGGGAAAGAAGATTGCAAACTAATTTGTATATAATATGACCTTATTTTATTAACAAATAAATACACAGAATGTCTATGTGAGTGTGGACATGTTTATAACTACAGGCCATAGGAAAAAAGATCTGAGAGAACAGCGAGTCTCTCTGAGCTGTGACATTACGCTTATTTTTATTTTTATTTTCTATTTTCAAGTATTTAGGCAATGAACATAAATTGCTTGCATAATAAATAATGTTTAAATGCCATACCATCCTTGGCTATTTCAATATCTGTTTAATGAGAGATTTTGAATGTGATATAGAAAGTCTCTGAAATGGAAACTTTCAGTTGACATTATTTAAAATACGATGTGTCACCCATACTCAAATGTGACCAGCATTAAAATACATCATATTGAATTGAGTTCTACAATCAAGCTATAAACTAATGCAGGATAACAGAGTGAAATAAAATAAGAGGATGATATTCATACTGAGCAAGGAAGAGTCACCTAGAGAACTTTAGCGCATTAAATTGGGATAATCATTGCAATGCAAAAAACATACAGAGATAATCCTATTTCAAAGGTATTGCACAAGTCATTTCCATGTTCAAATGATCACTATGATAAAGCATCACAACTGTAAAGTATCTTGTTAATAATTGTCTGACGTACCAAGCCATTCTCCTCGGTGATCTCACTGTGCAGGGCGCTGACATCAGCATACGTGCAGCCCTCAGAGATTTTCACAGTCTTCAGCTTCATCAGGAAGTTAATATATTCAGGCCTATCCATTAGCATTCTTTCCAGTTTTCCAGGCTTCTTCTGTTTTTTTTTAATGCTATTATTTTCAAAAGAAAACTTTTAGGTAATGAAAACTCATATTCTGTTACCACAAGAAGCCTAAGGCCCCCAGACTTCCCTTCATCATCCAATGTTGACAATAGTTTCATCAATCCTAACTTGGTCTCCCCTTCCTCACAGGCACTTCCACTATTTCATCTAGACGTCATGGTTCTTCACCAGTAAAATCCCCTGTATTTTCTTCCTTTTCTCTGCATGATTTCTCCTCCTTCATGCTGTAACAGATACCCGGTTCTTCTCAGGACAACTTCTGTTCCTGAATCTCTCTGGAGCAGTGGCCAGAGCACAGTGGAAAAGCAAAGGAGGTGGGTGTGTGGCACAGTCTAGAAGGTCTTATAAAAAGGGTCCCAGGCAGAAAAGGGTACTTTAAATATCCATGCTGAGAGCGGAGGCCCTTCATGACTGGGTCCAAGAGAGAAACTGATTATAGCAACCAATATTCTTTATTTTCATGGCCCATATAGTTCATTACACATTCAACTTGAAATGTAGTTCCTAGTCCTGAAAAAAGACTGACTAAAGAGAATCAGTTGCCAAGACAACCTGGAGCTCCAACTTCTCTCTCCCAGATCCTTTTCCTTTCTCCTATGTCCAAAAACTATGCACAACAAGCAGAAAGAAGATAAAAGCAGGAGTGGAACCAACAGAAATTTTGCCCTAGTCTTTATGAAATGTTTGAATTAGAAGGGCTATGGAAGTTATTTCAATGTTGTTACAGACTGAATGTTTGTGTCCCCCTCAAAACAAATTCATATGTTGAAAACCTAATCTCCATGTGTGATATCAGAAGGTGGGGTCTTTGGGAGGTGATTAAGTCAAGAAGACAGTTTTTTATGAATGGGATTAGCAACTTTATAAAAGAGGCTCCAGAGAGATCCCTCACTCTTTCACCCTATAAGGACACAGAAAGGACAGCTCTCTATGAATCAGAAAGCAGGGCCTCACCAGACAGCAGCTCTGCTGACACCTTGATCTTGGACTTACTAGCCTCCAGAACTGTGAGAAATACATTTCTGTTTATAAGCCATGTAGTCTATGGTAATTTGTTATGGACTAAGACATTGTGGAGGGGAGGTTTCATTATTCTCTCAAAAGTATTTATGAAGCACTATTACTATGTGCCAGGCAATATGCTAGTATGGGGGGATTCCAAGAAGAATATGCACAATTCTCGTAAGGGAACTCCCAATCTAAAGAAAATGAAGATATGAAGACAACTGCAATGTGGTGTTATCACTGATCCAAATGCTTCAGTGATTCAAAGTGGAATGAGAACAAAAGACAAAGGGTAATAAATCTATCTGAGAGAATCATTATAAACTTCAGAGAGAAGACAGATTTAAAACGAAAGATGTGGGGGAAATGAACAGATGTATGAGCTAACAGAAAGAAAGGCCCACCAGGTAGATGCAGTACCTAGTACATAGACTCGGGTGGTGGAAAGTGATTCATGTGAGGAGAACTCTGGTGAGATAGAGACTTACCAGAGAGAAGTGGCAGGAAATGATGACAACACCACAGAGGTAGGCAGGGAACAAATCATGGTGACCCTTGAATGCCATGCTAAAGTGCCTACCTGAAGTCCCACCTTCAAGCTGGGGCATGAAATCTGGGGGCTGGGTTGCCGGTCCTGTGGACTGGAAGCGGGAATTTATGGTGCTTTTTCCAGGCCTGCCCATGACCTCCCACGGACCCATCAGCACATGCTTCCTCCCCTCTGAAGCCCATAAAAACCTCAGACTCAGCCAGACTTGACTCAACAGATGACTAGCTGCAGAGAGGAGTTACCTACTCCAGTGTCTCCTCTCTGCTAAGAGCTGAGCAGATGTCAGGATTACCAGCTGTGGAGAGGAGCTACCCACTCCAGGACCTCTTCTTAGCTAAGAACTGAGGACTTGACAGGATGACCAGCTGCAAAAAAGGAGCAACCCACTCCAGGGTCTCCTCTCCGCTGAGAGCTGAGTACTTGACAGGATTACCTGCCTGCAGAGAGGAGTAACCCACTCCAGGGCCTCCTCTCTGCTAAGAGCTCAATACTCATCGGGACACCCCACTTCCAGAGAGAAGCTATCCACTGCAGTTCTCCTCTAAGCTGTTCCATTGGTCAATAATGCTCTTCTTCACCTTGCTCACCCTCTACTTGTCTGTGTACCTCATTCTTCCTGGATGCAGGACTAGAACTTGGGACCCACCAAATGGCAAGGCTAAAAGAGCTGTAACACAAACAGGGCTAAAACACTTGCCACATTGCCCTTGCTTGCCACATTATGGGTGACAAGAAGGAGAGAAGAGAGAAGGAGAAAAGAGCTGCAGCCTTTAGAGGAGCCCAGACCTAGCAGCTCCCCAAGCCAGGGCTGTGATACCCTCTTTGGGGCCCTGCAGTTCCTGGCATCTCTGGGCACCACCATGTTCCCCAGTGCCAGCCATGGAAGCTGCTTGCAGTACTTCTGGTCCAGCTGCAGCCATACAGGAAGCTGGTGCCTGTGCCAGTATCTGGAGCTGCCAGCCTCTCTACAACTGGCATGCCTGGCTGGGTGCAGGAAAGGTGCCACTGGCCACAGAGGTCTCTAGCCAGAAAAGCAACACCCCAAGAATCCCATAACAGAACAATCAGACCAGTAACTGTATGTCAATAACATTAGGAGAGGTAAACCTGGAACAAGAAATTACACATGAGAAAGACTCTAGACAATCCCAAATAACAAATGGCAAGGACCTGAACCAACTCAGAGCCAGTAAGTGAGGATCGAGAGGATGGCAAGGACAGAAGAAACATTTTGACCATAGAACTGTCAGAATTAATCAGACCTTGGGGAAAAAGGGGAAAAAAATCACAGCAGTGAAGTTCTACCCCTACCATTCATTTGGTATGGCAATTCATTCTATAGTCCATTCTTTGGTTTTTAAGCTTTATTTTAAGTTCAGGGGTACATGTGCAGATTCGTTATATAGGTAAACTTGTATCATGGGAGTTTGTTGTACAGATTATTTCATAACCCGGATATTAAGCCTAGTTCTCATTCGTTATTTCCCTCGATCCTCTCTCTCCCTCTTCCTCCCACCCTCCACCTTCTCATAGGTCCCAGTGTGTGCTGTTCCCTTCTATGTGTCCATGTGTTCTCATCATTTATTTCCTACTTAAAAGTGAGAAATGTAGTATTTGGTTTTCTGTCCCTGTGTTAGTTTGCTAAGAATAATGGCCTCCAGCTTTATCAATGTCCCTACAAAGGACATGATCTCATTGTTTTTCATGGCTGCATAGTATTTCACGGTGTACATGCACCACAATTTCCTTATCCAGTCTATCATTGATGGGCATCTAGATTGATTCCATGTCTTTTCTATTGTGAATAGTGCTGCAGTGAACATATGCATGCACGTATCTTTATGATGGAATGACTTCTATTCCTTTGGGTATATGCCCAGCAGTGGGATGGCTGTGTTGAATGGTATTTCTGTCTTTTGGTCTTTGAGGAATCACCACGCTGTCTTTCACAATGGTTGAACTAATTTACACTCCCACCAATAGTGAATAAGCGCTCTACAGACCAGCAAACCTCCAGGTTGTGTCCTGGGAACATGAATGCAGGTTATGGCTAAGAAGGCTGAGGGCCTCCTAGGAGGCCCAGTTGATTCTTAGGCTTACAGGTTGTGGTCTCACCTCTCCTGACCTAAATGAACTCTATCTACATGTATAAGAGAGATTCCCTTCCTCCCATCCTTCCACCCAAATTTACTCTATTTGCAAAAACTGTGAAACAATAACAAGGGCCCCTTTGTGTCTCAGGTCTCTAAACATTTCTGACAGTGACTTATGAATATTTTAAGTCTTCAGGGGCCAATTTGTTTAAGTAAACATTAATACTTACGTCTTTTTTTCTACCTTCACAATTCCTTCAACTTTTTTAAGTTCTTCATTTATATCAAGGATATAATGATGACATTCAGTGTGGGGATGGCTTTTTGTCCCTATCTTCTCCAGAAAAGCGCACATACTTCCAGCTCTTTTTTCCACATCACCATTCTTAAACCTTATTAACAAATGAAAATAGTGCTTTGAAAAGACTATATTCATATTGTAAACCAAAAATAAAATTATAAGGCCCCTCAATCATCTGAATAGACTTCACCCTAGGCCAGGGCACTCTAAAATGTAAACTGAAAGAGTGGTTTAAGCCACAATGGGAAGTGGGGGTCACACATGCCTCACTGTACCCTCCAGCATCCACACCAACACAGACCCAGGTCTGATAAGAAACATCTACAATCTATTTTCTCTGAAGCCTGCCACCTGAAGGCTTTGTGCGCATGCTAAAACTTTGGTCTCCACAACCTTTTATTATTATTGTTATTATTATTATACTTTAAGATCTTGGGTACATGTGCTGAATGTGCACGTTTCTTACACAGGTAGGTATACACGTGCCATGGTGGTTTGTTGCATCCATCACCCCATCATCTACATTTGATATGTTTCCTAATGCTATTCCTCCCCTATCCCCCCAGCCCCTGCTATTCCTTCCCTAAACCCCCAACCCCTGACAGGCCCCAGTTCCACAACCTCTTATAACCCAGACATTCCTTTCTGTTGATAACCATTTCAACCAATTCCCAATCAGAAAATTTTTAAATCTACCTATAATCTGGAAGCCTCCCTCCCCAACTTTGAGTTGTTCTGCCTTTCTGGATCAAACCCATGTGTATGTTAAATATATTTAATTGATGTCTTATATCTCCCTAAAATTATGAAACCAAGCTGTACCCCAACCACCTTGGGCGCACGTTCTTAAGACCTCCTGAGGGCTGTGTCACAGGCCATGGTCACTCATATTTGGCTCAGAATAAATCTCTTCAAATATTTTGGGGAGTTTGACAATATCATATGTCCATCTACTGCTATCACCTTGACATATAATTTGCTAGAAAAAAATGTTTTGGCTCAATGTATGAAACATCCAGTAATATATTACACTCATTATAGGCTGAGTTCTCCATAGAGTTTTTTGAATATTACTTGTGAGGCCACGGATTTACTAGCATGTTTAGAAAACAGACTTTGAAAAGGAATCTTATGTAGCTGATGAGCATTAAATTATTACACTGAAGAAACAAAGACTAGGAAAGTCTACTATACATGGTGCAAAAAAAAACCAAAAATAATAATAGCAAACAATTACCAAGTTCCAGGCAGTCTTCTACGTGGTTTAAATAGATTAACTAATTTAATCTCTACCATGACGCTATGAGAAAGGTAATATTATCTCTGTTTTGCAGATGAGGAAGTAAATTCCAAAGGAAATTTTGAAATGCCTTCAAGGTCACATAGCCTACTGGTCAGGTTGTGGTTAGAACACAGGCAACTCAGCTTCAACTTCAGAGGCTGGTTTTTTTTCTTTTTCTTTTTTTTTTTTTGAGACAGGCTGACAGGCTCTTGCTCTGCCACCCAGACTGGAGTGCAGTGGTACAATTGTGGCGTACTGCAGCAGAGGCTCTATTTTTTACTACACTTTTAATTTTGCCTCCCTGTTCATAGTAACACAAGTTAATATGCAATACCCATATATTACTGGTTGCAAACAGTGTCTTAAATGATAGCATTAAATGACTCTTTTTACTGCTTTAAAGTAAACAAACTAGGTTACCTAGAATTAATTTTCCTTCTTCAATCCCTCTGATCACCTGACAAGAGTCCAGTGTAAAAAAGAAAAAAAAAAAAAAAGTCTAGGGATTGGCCTCAATCAGTCATGTTTTCTACTGATGAATTAAGTGTTTTATATAAATTACTTTGTTTAATCCACAACACAACCCAATGAATTAGTTATTATTTCCATTTTTCAAATGAGGCTGCAAGAGGGTAAACAGATATTCAGAAGTCACATAACGAGAGGAGGGCAGAGCTGGAATTTAAGCTAAGATCTGACCCAAAGTGTGTGCTCCTGACTCCGCCTCTACATGAGCACCAGACATAAAACATGCGCCTTGTCAGCACCATGCACGTTTTCTGGAGTCCAGATTAAGGAAGGGAAGTTTTAGCTTGAGCCTAAACCAACTGTCATAGAGTTCTCAATGTTCCGGTGGTACAAAGCAGCGGACTCAGCCTAGGATCTCTGTGGCATATGTTAAAGACAACTGGAGACTCCATTCAAGCAGCAAAGATCTCAATCCCAAACATTTAAAATATCTATTCACAAACCTGCACATTCTGCACAGGTACCCCAGAACTTAAAGTATAATAAAAAAAATAATATTTTTAAAATGTAGATGTATACAAGTGTACAAATAATGAATCCCATTTCCATTTAGATTCCTATCACAAAGTCATTCTTTCAGCCATGCCTCAGTGCTATATAGGAGTACATTTGTTTCTAACTAAAATTCAGAGCCACGCTACAAGAGTAATCTATATAGATATTGTAACATGTTGGTAGAATACTTCATTTGTTTACCTTGGTCCAAGCACAAAAGAAGAAGAAATTTTCTTGTAATTCCCCACATTTGTGACTTCAGTCATCTGCTCTTTAATTTCTCTCATCATCATGTTTTAGTTACTCACCACCAGCACAAACTTTGGATGCATTAACAATACACGTGGCTTAGTGCTACCATTAAACATATCCACACGCCTATGTGTTTGTGTATTTGTCTTTGTAAATGATTTCACATTACCATTGGACCAAGGTGCTGGGAATTTATTTTTATACAAAACTTCTGTAGTTATAATAATTTAAAATTCTCTTGGCTAAATAAGTTTTTTGGTTCTGATTACGAGAATGGGTCCAGGGTACAAAGTGTTACCCACTTAATGTGCTCCAGTTAAGTTCTCCTAATCAGAGAGAGTTGCTAAATACTACTCAAGGTCTTTTTATTATGTCACGCGATATCAAGGAATGCCTCTGGGCTTGGTTTTCTTAGGTGTAAATTAAAACCAAACATTCAATAAATTTTGACTGCTTTATGTGTTTTACCTCTGTACATGAAAAAATCAATTTAGTTGCTAAAAGAACGTTTCTAAATTTAATGATAGCTACTTACAAAAAACAATTAGAAAAACCAAAAACCTTTTTTAAAAATCAAGAGTCATGGAATTAAGATGAAAAATGTTAATTTTTCAATTAATGTTAAATTTTCAATCAAATGACTCTTGATTTTTAAGGATTGACCTAGAAGGCTGGCCCATTTCTTTGAAAATAAAATCTATATTTTTTTAAAAAAAATGCAAGAAACTAGTAAAAATAGGCTCACTTCTCATTTATATATAAAGGAGACTAATTGAAAACAAAACCAATCAAAAAAATCTAACATATAAACAAAGATGAATTAAGTTTCAATTACTTACAAAAAAAATATTGCAGGTAACTTATCCATTTGTCTTAACTTTTCAACAAGAAGAGGAAACATGTTTACCATATCTTTTGAACTAGACGATGAATCCGGACTAAGGTTCTCCAGTACTGTTTCGACCTAGAGTAGTAAGTTAAAATTATTTTAAATAAAGAAGAAGAAGAAGAAAGAAGAAAGAAGAAAGGAGGAGGAGGAGGAGAAGGAGAAGAATTTGCAGAAACAGGAGAGAGAAAGGAATTATTTCGTTGTCTAAAATTAGAAGAATTTTTCATATATAGTTTTTTGTGGGTTTTAAAAATAGTCCTTTTATAATATATTATCAAGTACTGGTAAAAGTGAGTGGAGTCACAGACATCTCTATATTAAAGAATAGACAAAGAATATATAAAATATAACATATGATGTTTTTATAGGCACTACAAGTAAGTCAGTAGGATAAAGATGTTCAGAAAATGTTGCTGTTTCAACTGTTGCAGGGAGAGTGACAAAGGCTTTCTCCAATTACTAGATGGCAAAATAGCAGCCAAATATGGAGTATATAAAATCAACAATGGAAAAGAACCTCTTAAAATTTTTTTTAAAAGTTTTTAACTATATCTACCAATACTTTGAAAAGGCATAGAGGCATATTCATAATGCTTAACTAAAAATTCAAAAAAGAGTAAGTCACAGAGTGATCAAAAGAAGTACAATAAGTTGTTTACTTCAGATATTGTTGAAATTCTGGGTGGTAATTTTTATCCTACTATTCCATATTTTATTTTATTTCATTTATTTATTTATTTATTTTTTGAGACAGAGTCGCGATCTGTTGCCAGGTGCCAGCCAGGCTGGAGTGCAGTGGCGTGATCTCGGCTTACTGCAACCTCCGCCTCCCGGGTTCAAGCAATTCTCCTGCCTCAGCCTCCCGAGTAGCTGGGACTACACGTGCACACCACCATGCCCAGCTAATTTTTGTATTTTTAGTAGAGACGAGGTTTCCCCATGTTGGCCAGGATGGTCTCGATCTCTTGGCCTCATGATCCACCCACCTCAGCCTCCCAAAGTGCTGGGATTACAGGCGTAAGCCACCATGCCCAGGCTTATAATTTTTTATAAACAGCATCTACTACATTTTTAAGCAGAAAAAAAATGTTATTTTACATCAGGAAAATTAAGATTAAATTCCTTTACATACTATACAATGGAAAAACATTGATGAAATAGTTATTGCTATCATGAATACATTTTCTTGACAAAGTCATTTTCCATTTTAATTATCAGTTGAGGGGTGGAGAGTAAGGACATCTTGGTATTCAATTTTCCCAGGATTAACATTTAATGGAACACAGCATTCTTTGCCAAACAGGCTGAATTATTTGCAATATTTCCTTATATCAGTACCATTTTTTTTTTTGAGAACAAGTCTCCCTCTGTTGCCCAGAGTAGAGTAGAGTGGCACAATCTCAACTCATTGTAACCTCTGCCTCCCAGGCTCAAGTGATTCTCACACCTCAGTCTCCAGAATAGCTGGGATTATAGGCATACACCAGAAAATCTGGCTAATTTTTGTATTTTTATAGAGATGGGGTTTCACCATGTTGGCCAGGCTTGTCTGGAGCTCCTGGCCTCAAGTGATCCACCCGCCTCAGCCTCCCAAAGTGCTGGAATTATATGTGTGAGCCACCACACCTGGCCAACAAACACCATTTTTGTCTTTATTTCTTTTATCTCTGAAGAAAAAAAGGCAAATAAACATGATAGTCAGCAAACTAGAACCAAAGATCCATCAACCTTAATGCTCAAGGGTGTCTTTGCTACTCAGCATAGCCACCTGAGTCTGTCGTCTGTAAATTTGCCTAAGCCTCTTTCAAGTACATTTATATTTTCTCATTTATCATCATGTACATGAGTTTCAGAAATTGGTTATTTTTATATAATTTATTTTTATTTGCACAAAATCTTACTTAGGTTAGCCCCTGTACTAATTCCTGATTCCCTCAGCAACATTGGGGCTCCTGTTAAAGTTAAGGGTTCTCTATTTTTAGCTGTTTGTAGCTGTTACTGAAGAAACCAAAACCCTATAACACAAGTTTTGTTTGTTTGTTTGTTTGTTTTTGAGTCAGAGTCATGCTGTGTGGCAAGGCTGAGGGCAGTGGCACGATCTCGGCTCACTGCAACCTCTGCTTCCCGGGTTCACGCGATTCTCATGCCTCAGCCTCCTGAGTAGCTGGGACTACAGGCGTGTACCACCACACCAGGTAATTTTTTTGTATTTTAGTAGAGATGGGATTTCACCATGTTGGCCATGATGGTCTCAATCTCCTGACCTCGTGGTCAACCTGCCTCAGCCTCCCAAAGTACTGGGATTACAGGTGTGAGCCACCATGCCCAGCCTCTGTGGCACATGTTTTAAAGGGCACTGAGCTAAGAGATGAAACCAGTTCCTTCCTCCTTTTTCCTACCTCAGACTCACTAGATAACATGTTTAAATGGAATTACGAAAATAAAAACTGGAATAAAAAGATTACAGAACTGACATTGGCTGAATTATTACGCAACTCCAAACAATTAACAATTAAGCGAAACTCTGTCCAAAAAAGTGTGAAAATTACCTGCTTCACTTTGCCATTTTGAATCCAATTCGTTAATTCTGCCTTTAAGTTTTCTTCATATTTTCTAACATCCAACTTCTTAATGACTACTTTATTCTTAAAAAGAACAAATTCCTCTGGACACAATTCCTTGGGGGGAAAATTATCACAAAATTAAGCTAAGCTATGCAATCTATATAGTAAGAAAAATACAACGATGTATTTGAGTTTACTTGTCTCCTTAACCAAACTGCAAATTCCTGAGGTCAGAGGCTGTTAAACATCTTTTTACCTCCCCATAATTTCTAACACATAAACTTATGATGGTGGGTGAGCTCTTCAAATGAAAGAATATAAGGCATGGCTGACGAGAAGACGAAAATGAACAGAGAGGAGAATGGAGGAATCTAAGTCCAAAAACACAACTAAAGTAGTATGGTATCCCAAAAGCTAAAAGAAGAAATATTTTCGAGAATTACAGAATATTCCATGCTATATACAATAATAAAGTCACAAAGAATGTCTGAAAATAAGAAAAATTAACTGATTATTTCAAAATAGCAGCATCAGCCAAGTGGAGAGAAGAAGTGTGCTTACCTGAAGAGTAATTTTGCCATATTCTTGAATAGTATTAACTGAAGTTAGTTTCCATGAATATATATTTCGATATTTACCTGAGCCCTGGGCCAAGTTTCCCAGACTTGAACCATGGTATCATAAAGCTGGATGCTTTCTTGAGGGGTGAATGTAAGATCAGGTGGGAATCCATACTTTTCAATCTGTGAATAAATGAATTAATGGATGGTTGAGCAAATAAAATTACAGTGTTTGTATTTCCTTTATTTTATCTTATCTTTCATGGCTAACCCCTCAGGTCTTTATCCATGAATCCAGGGACATTAAAAGGCAAAAAACTGGAATATTTCACCTCTGCAGGGATCTGTTAATAAAATCTTAACAAAGTGGCATCCCTAACCTGCGGAAATAGAAAACTCCAAAGGTCACTAATAAGTTTCAGCATTACTTCCTGAGACTATTCATACTAGATAATAAACGAACACGGCTCTATGAAACAGCTTCACAATGCCAGTGAGGGTACTGGATGGCTGGAAAATATGAACACTTACAGAATAGCCTCAATTTAGACAAAAAATATACATTTCTTTTTGAAATATCCTTTTGAAACAGACATTAAAATGTGTTTAGTGATGAAGATGATTTTATGGATACCAAGCCACGTAAAAAGGGACAAAGCTTTGTCCCTAGAGGCCCAATATAAGAACTGGGTCGGCCAGGTGCAGTGGCTCACACCTGTAATATCAGCACTTTGGGAGGCTGCGGTGGGCAATTTGCGAGGTCAGGAGATCAAGACCATAACACGGTGAAACCCCATCTCTACTAAAAATACAAAAAATTAGCTGGGTGTGGTGGCACATGTCTGTAGTTCCAGCTACTTGGGAGGCTGAGGCAGGAGAATCCCTTGAACCCAGGAGGCAGAGGTTCCAGTGAGCCAAGATCATGCCACTAGTGAGACTCCATCTCAAAAAAATAAACAAATAAAAAATAAAAACTTTTTAAAAAGGAGCTGGGTCAACTTTATAAGGACAAAGACCCTCAGACAACCTTCAGATACTCAAAGAAATTTCTACCTGATGGCTACCTTGGTTACTGATCAGCTCTGCCTTAAGCCTTCAGAACTCACACACTACTTTTCCTCTCACAAATACTGTTGATGTTAGTCATGTGCGAAACACCGCATAAGGTACAAGAACAAATCCCATCTCATAGCCTTTGTGTTCTCTATGCCTGTGTCTTCAATTGCTACTTCTTCTCATCTATTATGTACCCAAGAGATAAAGTAACATCTCCTAAACCATAACACCAAAAAGAAATGTTAACGATGAGATGTCTATGGGAAAGGCCCTATTAAACAAGTTAACCAAGTATCTTTATGTCAAGGTTTCTGTTATGTTCATGTGCACAGCGAATCTCCAAGAAAGGGATAGGGCATCACACTTCTCCCCAACTTACTTAAGGAAGGAACCATTGTTTTAAAAAACACATATTCCTGGTTCCTGGAAGATTGGAAATACTGGGCTAAAGGAGTCACTCCAAAGATAAGAGTTCAGATAGCAAAGAAGCCCTGTTTGGTGGACTGTGGGATTAGAACCCACTCCTTGGAATTCTGTTTTGCTGTTGTTGTTGTTGTTTGTTTGTTTTTTGTCTATAATATGAGAATGACAATGTCTTCATTGCTTGTCTTCATGATGGTGGTAAGACTCAAAAGGGTTAATATAAGCAAGATTTTCTTTTTGTAGTATGTTATTCAAAAAGAATCATCATTTAGCAATTCTCAGATTGAATTAATGAAGCTAGCTAGTTGGCAGGGACTTCATTTGAACACACTAGTAACTATATTCATTATCTCAGAAGGTGAGGATTTCAGTATCTCATAAATTGCATCTTTCAAGTGACCATATGTTCTGTCTATAAACAAAGCCATTCCTGACTTCGTAATTAGATTTTTCTAAGAATCATCAAGTACATACTAATGCTATGCTTCTATTTTGGTCTCTAAAATAACAGTGATTCATTTTCAAAGCAACTCCTTTCCTTTACGAATGCCTTGGTTTCCCATCTCTAAAATGGGAATAATTATCCTTATACCAGAGATTTGTTGTGAGGATTACATGATATAATGTGTATAATCTGCTGTTAAAACGCCTGGTTCTTTTTCCGTATCCCACCCATCTTAGTGACTGGCTATTAACTTTCAGGTATTCTTATTTATTGGTTTGTCAACTGTATCACTAAAAAGACATATTAAACTGAATTGTTCTCCTCTGCACAGCATGTAATTAGCTGGTATCTCTCAAGCTGGCCTAAATAATATATAAAATGATATAGAAAGACAGTATATAAAAGATCATTATATGGTTATATTGGTTTGTACTTCTTCATTCATAAACAAAAGCATATAATACCACAATGCTACTTTTGAAAAAATAAAAATTTAAAAAAAGTTGTATGGTAAGCATTTATCAGAACTACATGGAAAGAGACAGACGGTAGTTCTTTCGAGGACTGCCTGGTGCTGACAGCCTCTTAGGGAGCTGAGCAGCTGGGGTTTTTTTGTTTGTTTGTTTGCTTTTTGTTTTTTGTTTTTTTAAGGCAGCATAATTCGTAGGTAGGCTGTGCAGCTCTTCCCTTAGCCCAGGAACAAGCCATATATGGACTGCAGTGATCCCTCACCACAGCTGGATTAAAGCCAGCTCACTCATCCTGTTCCCATGCCTTCCTTTCCACAGCTATTTCCATGACTGTTACAGATAATAAATCCAAGGTTAGAAGGTTCCTTTACATTCTTCTCTTATTGCTTCAATGTATTCTGCTTCCCCTCATGATTGAACAATTTCAGTGTAATCTCATGAATGCTATACTCATGTGGATAGATCATTTTGCTATTGTTATTGCTACCTTAGGAGCACAAAGAAAGGTCTTATATAAATACACACCTCACAAATTTCACCAGTTGTCTAAGCATTTCTAAAAAGTATGTCTCTCTATTTATCCCCAGGCATAAAAGAGTAAAGTGTCACAGAGTAAAGAGTTGAGAAGATTCACACAACAGTGCAGCTCTGCAGAAGTCACACAGGGTCAGAACATACTGTAATGGTTCTGTTGCTTTCCAGTTACTCCATTAATAGCTACTGAGAATAGAGGAAGGCACATAGCCAAAAATGATGAACTCCAAGCCACTGTACTCACAAATGCTTAAAGGTAACTTACCTTAAATCAGTCTAAGTAGAGCAAACCATAAAGAAAAATTATGAAATACTATGCAACTAAAAACTTGCTGAGAATTCAATGCTGAACATGTCAAAATATAATTGGAAAGGCTTAAAGAATGATGCATGCTTATCACAGTCAGGGGCTTATCTATTCCTTGAGCACAGTCAGGGGCAGAGGGAGGGATAGGGACAGGAATACCATTTGGAATGAGTCACTTTAAAGCCAAGAAAAAGCTACATTGCAAAACTTTGTTTGAAAACTTCTGGGAGACAGAATCGCTTTAAGTGAGTTTTACATGCCCTTAGTCACCATAGCTCAGAGTCTATGAAGTAATTTCCATTTAATTCCTTATTCATGCAGTCAATCCACAAATTACTTAGTATAACACTATGCTTAAGAGCATTCGGTTTTGGGGTCAGAACTTGTGAGTTCGTACCTTAGTCTGACAATTACTGACTGAGTCCTTGGGCTAGTTAACCTACCGCCCTAGCCCTCTTTTCCCTCACCTGTAAGTTGGGAATAATTATAGTATATTTATTATAAATATGTTGGAAGGTTAAAAGAGAAACACATATATATACTTAAGAAGTGCCTGTCACATAAATTCTCAACACATGGTGTTAATCATCATTCCACAAATGTTTACTGAGCAACTCTTGTGTATATGGCACTATGAGCTAGCTCTAAGGTCATCCAGGGGTGAAATAGTGCAAAAATTTTCATTAACAATTTTATAGTTTAATAAGAAAAAGAGGACGTGGAAGCAACAAAACTTTAACAGCAGGCTAAACATAATTGGTGTCAATTAAAAAGTACAAATAATAAATAAAAGTACAAATAATACATACTTCCCTATGTATTATCAGAAAGGAAGATTAGTTCCATGTAGAGAGATCATAGAAAGACTTCTGGAGAAATTCCATATTAGCAAAAGCATGGAAGATGAATAGAATCTGGAAACAGAATTTGGCATCTAGAATAAAGCATTCCAGGTATAGCACACAGCATGAGCTCTTTTAGGTAAGCTACATCCTGGGTTCGAGTGAAAAGGTGAGGAAAGTCTAAGTTACAGAACACCTGAATGCCAAGCTACAAAGTCTGAAATTTATTTCCAGTGGAGAAACACTGAAGACTTTTAAGTACAATAAGGAGAGGATCAGAATTATATTTTAGGAAGATAAATGGAACAGCATAATTTTGAATATAATTTCATGAAAAAAGGACCAGCCATTGGCTAGTGTCATATCTTCACAAGGTAACTTGAATCTATATAATTTAATAACAGAGATAGGATGGAAAAAGACAAGAGGATAGCAAGAGAAATGGATGACTTCCCACACTCATAATCCAGTGCCTCAGTTAAGATCTCCAAAAACTTCATCTTACCAATCCACCATGAAAAAAGTCATGTTCTGATTTCCATGTTAGTGGGAAATGCCTCTTCCCTGTTCAGACCATTTGGTAATGGGGAATTCTAACATGAACAAGGAGTGCCAGTACAGCTGTGGCAGCACTGTTAGTCACAGAGAAGTAGAAGACAGAAATAGACACCAAGAAGCAGCTGGATAGGAAAAGATAATGTCTGTAAATAAAGAAAAAGGATAAACTAACCAAAGAACCCAAATTAGAACTCTCCATTACTTCCTCTCCAGTTTTTAAACTTCAGGTGTCCCAAATAACTTCAAGGATCTAATGAAAGCTAGAAGAAAGCATACATACAACATTTTTAGGGGTTTTTCACTCTTCTCTAAAGTCCATCCTTGATGTCAGTATACCTAAGGTTAAGATTATCTGTAAAGGTGGCCTAATAGAAGCCTCCCGTGAGCATCAGTCCCCCCCAAAGGAGATCCAAATTGAGCAACCACGGACACAAAAAGCACCTTCATAAGAACCAAAATTCAGGTGAGTAATCACAGTATCTGGTTTTAACTCTGTATCACTGAAAGAGGCACTGAAGAGGGCAGGAAAGACAGCCTTGTACTGCCAA